ACATAAGTATACTTTTAGACAGTTTTCTTTTTCTGTGTTCAGTTTCAATATAATGTTGATTCTTATAAAAGCAACAAACATTATCATGAGGCTTATAATGAAAAACGAGAGCCCCCTTCTCAATGTTGCCCTGCTTGCTGTCCCAGAGGTATCCACTTTCAGCTCTCTTAGCAGACTCTCTAAACACCTACCTCTGTATTTTTAAATAACATGCTGATGCCACTACTTATTTTCCAATTTTAGACATTACCTTACAGAAAGCGATTTACTCTTATACCCTTCCCCCATCCCAATATAGTTATTATTTTTCTTAAATCATTGGTATTTAAATTATTATGACTAAATGAATAAAATTCACAATTGAGGTGGGCAGTATACTACCATGACACTCTTTTAAAAAAACGAAGTTTGATATTCCTAGAGTTAATAATCCCCCTTTCTTCCCCATCGCTTTGTGAGTTTTTGTAGTTATTATTAACTCAGCCCCAGCTCCTCCCAGTCCCTCAAACCCAGGAGGGCTGCTCACTCCACTTCTTGCTTTAGTGCCTTCCTCCTGCTGGCTGATCTCTAGATTCACTTTGAGCTACTATTATGCAATCTTGAAAGTTACTTGAGTCATGCCCAACTCTGAAGGATACAGATTACTGTATTTCCTCACTCCCACAAAGATAGGTTCTCCCCAAAACCTAGACTTATGCTTGTTGTGCTGAAAAAGGCTTGGAAGCATTGCTTTGATCTAGTCACCTCCCCTGTTCTTTCTCAGGCAAGCAGGGATTGTGCCTTGGCTCCTCCCCCATTCCACCTGCTTGAAGTTCACTGGGTCTTTTTCCTCTGTGTCTGATCCTAGTGAAGTGGTCACCAAAAGGGCTTCGGGGAAAAGTATCATTGATGAATATTTCTAAGTCCCAACCTATTTGGGCTGATAAGATCACAGCTGACAATAAAAATAAAGCAGCAAAGTGCTCTATTGCTGACTAGAGAATTATGAGCTGGATTATTAACATGGCACTTAAAGAGGAAAGGAAGAAGGTAGGCAGCAGCCTGGGGTGGCTATTTGGACACTGACATCGACTAACTGCAACAGAAGCTTGAGCCCCTTCTTAGTATGTATGGAAAAATCATTTCATATTTTCATGAAATATTAGACACCCCAAAGGGCACACACTAGTGACCCTTGGCCAAATTAAGACCTAAAGACCCCTTTGCTTGGCCAGTGATGTTTTTAAACTTTTGCTTTTTGGTTGGGGTGTTCACCTTAAGCCCACTGTTCTCTGTATCTTACATCTGCCTGGCCCTGAAGGTATGACATTTGAGAATTTTAATAATTCAAATCCCATAAGTTACAGAAGAGGGGGAAAAGACTCAAAGAGGATCAGTGACCAGCTAGAAGTCACACGGCTAAGTGGCAAAGCAAGGACTAGAACCCAGCTCTTCCTAATATACCACATTGCCGCTCCCTTTAACTCAACAGCATGTCGAGACCTGTAGGCCTTAGTCATCTGAAGTTTACTCCGTAAGCACATATAAAGAGCAGAGTAATAAAGGGAATCTCCAGGGCTATTCCCTAGAGGCTGGATAAAGCATTCCTAGCTCACCACAGAACATACATATCCTCCAAGTGATCAGAAGTTTGGAGGGCACTAGACGTGATTCAGTGTCTTGCTCCAAACACTGACATTTTATTCTAACTCCCCATTTTCCATGCTTCTGGCTGATCATGTCTCTTCTCATTTAATATAATCTTTCACCCAAACAGGGTACAATGCTGTCACTTGGTCTGTGTCAGCATTTGGTGAACTTCTGAAAGGATGCAGCTTCCTGGCTGCTCACTTTCCTTGTGCGAACAAGCCCCAGGAGGGCAGCGTTGGTAGCAGCGAGCCAGGTGGGCAGCAGGGCCCAGGCGGATGCCCTCTGGCTGTCTGTGGCAGGCAGGAGAGAAGCCTTCCACAGAGTGCCAGCTTCCAGGGCAGAATCAGAAACACTTCCTATCTCTGCCACACTCTATTTTTCTTACAGTGCCTATACCACTTGTTTTAACACTTAATAACTCAGTAATATTTAGAAAGATTAAATTTATCATGGGCACATCTCAGATTCCTAACTATATTTTAAGCTTCTAAACAGAAAAACAAAAAAGTATGGATTCTGGAGACAGGGAGTTAGGGTTCAAATCCCAGCTCTGCCACTTACCAGCTGTGTGACCTGGCCAAGTTACTCAACCTCTGTACCTAGGTTTCCTCATCTGCAAAATGTAGATAATAAAAGTACCTGCCTTTTAGCATTGTTTAAGAGGAATAGCCCAGCTCAGTAACTTTGCACTTTACAGATACTCACCAAGTATTTAATGTTGCCAAATTGTTAATCTACATTATAATGTTAAGGATTCAATGTGGAAAGTCATTTTTGTGATTAATTAGGCTGAGCCAGACAATGTTTAGCAATAAAAAAAATCACATTAGAATTGACAATATTAAGTCTTAATCATTATATAAGAAAAAAATGGAAAAAATGCATCTTGCTAGATGTACAATGCATATTAAAATTGCAGCTCAGTGGCTGAACTGAAAAGTTGCATTGTCTTGGATTTAGTTATACTTAATTTGACTTTAAGCTATCTCCATCCAAGATGACTCATAAAATTTATCTGACTAATTATAACTGTCAACAAAATTCCAGGACATAAACACAAGCATAATAGTGTGCTTGCCCGTGACTTGCTACCGTTTTGTTTACTGGTTGACTCTGAACACCAAGGAATTCACTGAGGTTGTTCTTTTGTTAGAACTAGTAAGAAACTATCCTCTGATGGAATTTTTTCTTGCTTCTAAATTTAACCATTTGAGGGAGTTTGTAATTTCTCTTTCGCTCTTTGAGGTGAATCTGAGGCAACAACAGTGTGATCTTCTACTCACCAAATCCAGAAATAAGACCGGGGCAGTCCATTCAAAGCTCCAACATCCGTCACCTCCATATGGTTCTCGCCACTGCTGAATCGCCTCCGTGGCCGGATGAGAGATGCGTGTGGGCACTTTGGTTTGGACAAACTACACACCAAAGCAAACATATGCTGACATACGTTGAATTTGCTCATGTTCTTCATGCTGTCTGACACCACGAAACACAGTTCTTCAGGGAGGAGGGAAAACTGCTGTGTCACATGAAAGGCAAAAGCTTCCCACTGCTCCTCAGAGAGAACAGGAGGCACTGATTGCTACCAGCAACGAGACGTCCACAAGGGATTATTTCCTCTGCAACATCCTAGCACTGCACCAGAACATTCACAGACATCTAAAAACCATAGAGGTAAGTTCTGAAGCAGCACAATAGGAGAAAGCAGTGGCTCTATCACGGAAAGTGAAGTGAGGCAGGTGTGGAGAGGGGACATCAGGCAGAACACCAGTATTTTAAGTTGGGCTGCATTTCCAGTTTTAGTCTAAAAATACGTGTATCATTCTGGACATTTTCATCATCTTCCCCAGCCACACCCTATCTCCTTAACACAAACACACCAAGTCCAGGAAGGTAATAACAGAGATTTCCTTTGTATATGAAAATTCTCTTTACGCATTTGTTCTTCCCCATAAGCTAATTAACATTGTTTAATTTATTTCAGATCAGGGACTGGTTTTTTCTGACTATTCTGCACAACATTTTAATCAACAGAATATAACTAACAAGCTTAAAGAGCCACTCAATACTGAATCAGCAGCTCATACCATATGCTGTGGGTAAAAACATACTTCCCAAAAAAGCTAAATGCAGAAAGACCAAGGATAGAAGATGTATTTAATACTCAAGAAGTCTAACAGGATGTGCTTAGTATGTGGAACATTGAGATTTTAAGGGGAAAAGTTATTCTTTAAATATATCTACCCTAGTCACCGGGCTAGCTCACTCGAAAGAGCATGAGACAGAATTTTTTTTTTTTTCTGAGACAGAGTCTCAACTCTGTTACCTGGGCTAGAATGCCGTGGCATCAGCCTAGCTCACAG